TCCTCAAGGACCCTGGCCTTGACAGCAAGTTGCAAGAGCGAGCCTCCGTTTTTGCTTGACAGCTACTCCCTGAGAGAGGTGTGAGGCAACAGCAGGTCTCTTTTTGTGCTTTTCAACCACCCACAGACAGCGAGTCTGCCGGCCTCACACACTGCCCACTCAAACAAGACGACTTTTGCGCCACAAGACCGCAAACCCGGTTCGCACGCTTGCAATCCTAATGACACTATGTCAACGGAAGCAGCTACGGCCTGGCGAAACAGCTTCCTGAAGGTTAACTGTAGTTGCAACAGGGTCTTAGGTGTTTGATACTCGCGCAAAAACTTCTTAAAACAACCAACCACCAAAACTCTTGCAGAGACGGAGGAAGTTGGCAAACCAAAACTTCAAAGCAAGGCAGGACAGTTGTCAGCAAGTCTTACACACCTGCACAGGCGAGCTTGCAAGAGTCAGGTGCAGCGAAGTTCTGCCAGCTCAAATGATTCTTGGGAAACTTTGCAAAGTCACAACTTGAACTCTTGCTTGCAAGAAGGTTCTCCACTTGGCTGCGGCGCAAACTTGCGGAAACAGTTACTCTTGCAAGAGACACTGCTAAAATACCTTACACCCACAACAAAGAGTCTCCCAGAGCCTTTCCTCTAAACCCTCGACCCAGCTCACTGGCTAGTGACGGACTCCCACCCAACTACATCTCCACAGAGCTTCCCTTTAGGAATTCTTAAGCCGAGATGTCTTGTTTAAAGGCTACGAGCCACGTGCAGACTAACCCGGAGGGACCTTCTTAGCTGAGATGTGTGTAAAAAGTCTACGACACGCTTGAAAGAGATTGGTACAGAGGAAAACTAACAGGTTGGTCATCATTGTAGCACCGGAGGCGTACTTTCTGGATGATCCAGTCGCGAACTGCTTCCATGCACTGCGTCAATGAGGCACCGTGGCCGAGCGTAGAGCATCGATAAGGCGTGGCAGAGAGCAGCTAAGCGTCGAACTCACGCAGCACAGACGGCGTGACCTGTTGCAATAAAGAGCAACCTTAATCCGTTTTTTGGCTTGAATGGACTTCATCGACGACGGTTGTAGCACTCAGTCTCTACTAACAAGCGAAACCAAAAACCATGGCACTCTCTTCAAGCCTTCAGTGCAAGTGGAGTGATTAGAAAGCCCACGCAAGCTCGTTCTCCAAGCTGCGTAGAGGCAAGTAGGCACGCATAGTTCATCAGGCACATTGGACAGCCATGTTCGCTGTCACGCACGCAGGGCAGAGAGCAGAAGAAAATGGTTGCTCGAATCGCATTAGACGGCTGGCAAGGCCACAGAAAGTCATCGTGTGCATAGAGTAAACAAAGCCAACATAGTAGCTGCAACAGAGCCAAAAAGCCAATCTGGCGTGCAGTCCAAGCTCAATCCATGCGATTGGCTTCACCTGTCCATAGAGACAATGACAGCAGTTCATGAGCGGGTTACTTGCCTGTAGCACTGGTCTTCGCACTTCTTCTCCGGAAAGCCGCTCACACTGCAGTAGTCCATGGACTTTTGGATTTTGGTGTGCACAATCGTGGCTGAACAAAACACAGAGGTTGTTGCTGAGGCTCCGTAGTTTGGCGTCTGCGTGGAGGTGCCTGCGTGAGTTAGGATGTCCATCACAAGCTAGGGCCTGGGCCGCGCTGTCGCCGAAGCGGGCGGCTGCTCAATTACGCCATCAACAGCTCGGCAGCGGAAGCCATCGGGCAACTGCACCAGGGTGGCCTTTCCTTTGTTTCCGTTGCGGCGAAGCGTGTTCTGTATGCTATTGACGCTGCCAAGGCCCACCTCGAGGAGCGGCTGGCTGTGAGACGTCGTGGGCAACATGAAGCAAGCCAACTTCCTGGGCGTGTGCGCCCAACACGGCAACCTGTGATCTCTCGGCAAAGCTCACTGTAGCGATGACAGCGTGTTGCTGACCAGTAGCATGATGTCGCCCCCATGAGAAAGCATCAACGACAGAGACACAAAGGATTGAGGGGCATTGCGTAGGCATTCCGGCGGTGGACCAAACACAGACCGATACCTCGAGGGTGCACCCGAGTATGTGGCACGAGCAGTCGCAATTGCATGACACAGAGCCCAGGGTCTCTCTAGCCTGTTGAACACGGGGGAGCAGGTCAGCCCGGCCGAGCGATGCGGTTAACGCTCGCAAGGCCTCGTAATGCGCACCGACAAGGTCGATTTCGATGGCTTGCGGACCCAACGCGAGAAGACGCAGTGGTTTGGTGAGGTGTGCAATACCAACGCGGCAGTAATATCGCCCCTGCGGCACAGCGCTACGGTGGTAGTCAATGGCGACAATTGCCCGAGAGGGAACAGCTCGCCAAAAATCACTAAGGGCTCGGATTCCGCGCAAATGGTGGGGGCCCAACACCGCAAGCGCCCGTCCAAATAAGGATAATGAAGAGGCTCAAGCTCCGGCAAGGTAATAACATCGCCTACATCGGTTAGCTGCTGAAGCGACGTAGCGAGTTGCACCCCTGTCCAGTGTCGTGCGGCAGGCTGCAGGGCCTCAAGAACGGCGTCAGACAGCCCGGCAGTAGGTGGGTCCCGCATGGCGTTGTTTGGCTTCATGATGGCATGTATGTACGCGCGCATGAGGCGACGTTGTGCCTGCCGGTGTTGCAGCAGGCTGTGGCAGCAGGGGAGCTCAGTCGGCTTCTCGCTGAGGCCACTGGCACTGTTGAGACATTCTCGCCCGTGCTGGAAGAGCTGGTGCGTGTCACTCATCTTGCGGCACCACATCAGGAGCTTGTTGCGCACCTTGCCCTGGCGAGCGCCCCTCGCCGCCTTGTGCCGCGTACGCCCGGCCCTCCTGCAGTGCTTCGGTGTAGCGCTGGCCGCTTGCCTGTGCCGGAGCATGTTGCTCGACGCAATCATCGCAAGCGGACGAAGGAGCTCGGTGCGGCCAAGCGCCAATGCCTCGGACTGCTTGCTTACTTTCGTCGCACGGACGATCAGTAGCAGCCTGTGCTGCTTTTGTCGTCGTTTCATTTTATTTCTGGGCCCGGCTCCCTGCTCTCTGTCTCGTAATCTGGGTAGGGAGGGGGGGAGGCCTGATTCTTTCCCTGCCTCATCTGGCGCATGAGTACGTCTTGATGACTCTCTGGACGGCGGTGTGTGTTACTTGATCTCGTGGGGCCTTTGAGTAGGGGAGCAATACTTGCTCCCTTCTTTACTCAGTTTGTCCTTTGTCCCGAGGGTGCGAGGGGATGAAAACGGCGGGGCTTCGATGCGCCTTGTCTGGTTGTTTGCGAGTTCACTTTGGAGCGGCGGCTTTTATTGGTTATTGACGCTGCTGCCGCTGGCTCATCAGGCTGCCGATGCCCCGGGGAGTAATACTAACTTCCCTCGCGCCTTGCTTCTGGCAAACGCACGTCTACTCCAGGCCAGGCCAGTTTTCAGGTGGCATTACCGAGAAAGCCTCCAGAATCCATGAATCATTAGTCTGTGACCTGTGAATATGTATGGATCGGTGCTAGGATTTTCAGTGTGTTTGACGTGTGGCTTTAGTTGCAGTGGGAGTCCTCGCGTCTGAAAAACTCTGAGCCTTCTGGAGGTACTTTGGCAACTATAGTATATAGTATTCGTACGGCAATACTACTGTCTGCAGATTTGAACAACATGTGCAGGAGCTCGCTTTGGCAGCGTTTTGGAGCCAAGTGTTTCACCCACTTCACATGACTGTCACAGCACCTCTGCAGCCTCAAACCGCGAACTGTTTGGTGTGCGGAAGGACCGAAGCCGTCAGGACAGCAAATGAACTACAACCCAGAGTGCATTGTCTGCTAACATAGTAAGAGATGCGAAATGCACATGTGTTTAAAGCATGAGAAGTTGGTTCAGGAAGGATCGTCGATCAAAAGCCCACGGTGCCATTCCATATCAACCACACGGAGTGTGCGTTTAGGAAGGATGGGCTTGGCATGCGAAAAATTGATGCGGTGTGCATTCACCCCATTTGAGCTTCTTTGTCGTCGCCTCGTCCTTGTCGTCGTCCCCCTTGTTGTTGTTCAGTCTGCATTTTTCCCTTCCCCCTTTGTGCCCCCCACTTACCAACAAAGACGAGTAAAAGGGGTATTCTGAGGACTGGCACATCATACACCGCGCAGCTGCTATGATACGTTGAGCCACAGCAGCATAACATCCACATCATCACTTCATCAGGTATCTCTGGGGTCATTCATTTACCATATTCACTCCTCCTTCCTTTCATCCATCATCACACCTCATTCAATTTACCTAAGGGGTTTCTGGCGACATCATACCTCGTTCATGTCTGTCATTTCCCGGCGAGTTGCTCTGGCAAATGCTTCATGACAGTTGTGCAACCACGGGCTGGCAGCTTTATATCGACTAATCAGGCGTCATGGTTCATTCTTCCTATCTAAACCGACCCTAAACTACAAACCCCAAGCGCCCTCGGCTCTAAGAGTGCTGCAACACAAGAGCCGCAAAGAACCCGGGGGGGAACCCGGCTGGCAGGCTCCCTTCTGGAACTTACAGGGCGCCGAACGCGGCGGCTGCTGGAGACCCAGGGCCGAATCGGAACTCAAAAGAATTATACTTGCAAAGCAGGTGGGGTGGTCTTCGGGGTTTCGCAATGTAAGATTTACCATTGCGCAGGACATCTTGACAACTTTTCGAGGCTTCGGAGGTTCAGGGTATAGGTTTGGCGTGTGAGCCCGGAGGGGTTCTTCAGGGTCCGATCGTTCTATTCAATCTGCGCGGCTCAACACCGTGCAATGCCAGACTCCCGCATGGGTTGCAACTTGACCTTTGCCTGTGTTGTGTTGCTCCTGGTTGCCTGCCAATGCAGTTGCATTTTCGCTGGTTACATGTTCTTTATTGAATCAGGGCACCGTAGCTTTTGGACCTTGCTGAGGAAACCCATGTTGGAGTTTGAACACAGACTGGCTCAGACAACCTTCGTGAACGCTCTTGCTCCTTGATTCCTCGCACTCTTGCCGTTCAGAATGGAGATGCAGACTCAAAGCTCTGGGAGTTTTGCATTCATCTTCCCCCTGGCGGCTGGTCACATCAACCCATCTTTAGCCATTGCGCGGTCCCTTGTTCAGCAGGGGCATGATGTGCACTACCTCTGTCGAGAACAGATGCGTGAAGCGATTGAAGATACCGGAGCCGTGTTTCACAGCGACATTGAAACTCAACCAGAGCTGTATGCTGGGAGGGATCCCTCGATGTGGGGTGCCCTGGGATCCTTGCAGGAGGAGTATGGCATGAAGGGCGAAAGCCTTTCCCAGGCCAGATTGAAACTGAGGGAGTTGGCAGTAGAGCTGATGCTTCCTGGTACTCTTCGATGGCTTGAGAAGATCAAGGCTCAGGCAGTGCTGTGCGATCCGCTAATCAGCTTGGAAGCCCCACTGGCAGCAACGGTGGCACTGATTCCCTGTGTGGCCTTGTTGACCGTTGCAGGGCCTGGTGGACAGGAAATCGCTTGGGGCGGTGTCTTGAAGGCTTTGGGCACCACTGCGGAGACGGTCTTGCAGGAAAGACGTCAGTTTCAAGGACACCAGGGGACAAAACAGTTGGTCCGCTCATAACACAAGGAAAGCTGAAATCGCCAAACTAGATGAACTAGATGCATCACGGCTATGTTGACCTAGCAATTGAGCACCATTGATATGCTGTTGATGTGGATGCAGTCTAGACGCATGAGCATCATAATCAAGTCCCACAGGTTCCGCATGCCTGTTGGCCCGTTCCCCTCCCCAGGACTCCAAGATTGCATAGAACGTTTGAAGAAGACCTACGGCCTTCACCTCGCTGTGGAAGATGGTGTGAAACCTTTGGGAGTCTTCAGAAGCTGCCTGATGTCTACTCTGACACTGGTGACCACTGCAGAATTCTTGGCCGATCCCATGTCCCCAGAGGTGTCTAACGCATACACCGGCCATGACTTCGTCTACCTCGGCCCTTTGCTGGACAAGCCCGGTGCCAAACGTGCAGGCGGTCACAAGATGCAGGATGCTTCCAATCATTCAGGTGGTGATACCGATGCGACGGCCCTCAACTTGGCTCGTGATGCAAGGGCAGAAGGTCGACCATTGGTCTTGGTGAGTCTTGGAACCATCATCACTGGTGATCATACTGACTATGGCTGGGGTGCTCGCTTCATTGTGGATGGGCAGCAGGTAGGCATCTCCGGTCGGGAACTTTGTCAGGCAGCGTGGCAGGCAGCCTTTGATGTTTTTGGCCAGTGGGACCCAAGCTCAACGCAGTCGCCCTTGATTCTTGCAGCACTCGGTCCTCAAGCAGATGCCCTAGAGGGATTGAAGGTACCTCCAAATGCCTTCTGCAGCCCTACTCTTCCACAAGTGGATTTGCTCAGACTTGGAGTGGATGTATTCCTGACCCATGGAGGGCAGAATAGCTTCACAGAAGCCTTGTCCATGGGAGTTCCCCTAGTGGTTTGCCCAGGCTTTGCCGATCAGCCGGTGAATGCAGCGAAAGCGGAGTCTTTGCAGATCGGTCTCAAGGTGGATCGACCCATGCGAGCCCTGGAGCATGCTGAGGCAGATAAAGCTGCATACAGGAAAGCCACTGCAGATGCCTTGACGACAGTGGTGCAAGATCCATCTTTCAAGCAGCATGCCATGAGTTGTGCCCAGGCCTTGAGTGCTTGTGGAGGTGTCAGCCTGGCAACCAGAATTCTGCTGGGTTTGGCGACTTCGAAGCTGCCTCTTCAATTGAAACAGGCTGGAGCCTAGCACATTCAGATCTTCAGATCTTTTGAATGAGCCCGGCGACTTGCGCTGGCTCAAGACACTGCTTTGCCTTCTCAGTGCACGGCAGCTTGATGCGGCCTGGTACAGATCAGCTGCACGGTGCTACGCCGCTACGCAGCGCTGCTCCCGGGGACGACCTTTGTACAGACAGGGTCACTTCAAGTTTCTTGTCAACTCGCCGGTCTTGCAGCGGATGAGCATCTTGCAGAGCGAAGGTGGTGCATTGGAGTGGGATTTCGGGACATTGTGGTGGGGTCTAGGTAGTGTTTCAGGTTCGAAGCTTCTGGGACCTTCTGAAGTGCGACTACACCTGGGTGATTGAGAGTTCGGGGCTGAGGGTGTCATTTTGTGCTCTGAGGGTTTGAAGGTTCAAGCTCCGGCTGCTGCAGGATGTATGGAGGCTATGGCATCAGGGTCCTTGCTGGGCATGGGCGTCTCTGGAGGGGGACCTGTCCCTTCCTTCTTTCCCAGAAGTCCAGAAGCCTTTGAACACAAACCTAACCCTAAGCCTTGCTGTGCTATCGCCCAGGCCCGCTGCGACAGCGGCTGAGGCGTCTGAGGGCGAAGGCGAGATATGCCGTCACGACGAACACATACACCATAAGTGCACATGCGCCTGCATGCCCCTACGTACGTACGCATTATTTGTATGTGACGATTGCACTTAGATGCAGTTGCAGCTGCTTCCACATCCTCGGATAGGGTAAGGCTTCAATTGTCCAGGATATTCCGACTAGCAGGAAGAGAGAAAGGTAGGAACTTGCTGACAGCAAAAACACCCTCGGGTCGCTGCATTAGGAGCCGAAGTCCAGCCGTGGTCGTTGGGGATTTGATTCTCACTGTCCCACAGTAGCGGGCAGCTGCTGATGTCACAGACAGGATAGGAGTTGGAGTGTTCAGGTTTCGTCTCTGGCTTATTCTTTGGAGCAAAAGACAAGACCATGAAAATGGAGCAACTACCGATGCATTTAGTATTCGTTACCTGCATCCGCAATCGATATGCTCATACTAGCATTTGTAAAGCAGATTCCAGTTTCACAGCCACTTTTCTTATCATTTAATGCACTCTCATGTTGCCTTTGGTGACTTCAATATGCTCTCCTGTCGAGTGTTGCACCTTTGAATATAAACGCAATATCACACACCTTTCATCGACCACATCTAGTTCCTGATTCTCGCTCAGAACGCAAGCGCAGCCGGTTTGAGTGCGCAGCTGTGAGCACTTTTGCTTCTGATAGGCGAATTATGGCTACCTTGTCCAGAGATCTTGTTGATAAGAATCCTACTTTGTGGTCCTTATCTTCTCGGCCTCCCAGTCCCGCAGCAACACGGTTTGCGGGAGTTGTTGTTCAGGTTCCGACCGCAGGCGTTCGGGTTACAGCTTTCATATATCTCGAAAAATTGGGATTGTTCAGACTGCTGGACATAAGCGTTCACGAATCGACCACAATTCCCGTACTTGAGGGTACTAAATGGAATGCAGGATCTTGTTCATGCGGTTGAGGTTTGAGCACTCACAATGTGGAGTTTAACAGTCTGGGTTTTGCAGCCTTCGGTCGACGGCGTACGGCTTGAATTCTTCATGCTTGTTATGTCTAGAGGTGCTTGGCCTCAATAGACCGGTCGCTATCTTTGGGTTTGTATCTGTATCTGTATCTACTTTTACATGTGCAAAGAAGTAGTTTGTTTTCGGAGGTTTGAGGAGTCTTGAAGAACACATCCAAGTGAGTGTGGAGACTACAACTCGAACGATCGGTTTTTCCAGAAGAGGCGACACAAGAGCAGACCCTTTCTCCACATTTCTGTGTTTGTGTGTGGTACAACATGCAGAATCACTAAGCGCAGGACTTGTTTCCAACATGTGACATCTTTGTGATGAAATGTGATACGACGGTAAGTCTCAAACCCAAGAAATCGCTCGAGACTTGTGCCAGGTCGTGCCTTCTACTGGAATTTGTCCGCAGCACCCGAGAGTGAGATCGTGGAAAAACCATATTGTGCCGCTCTTTGTAAGCTGGGGCTTGGTAATCTTTGGAGTGAGATTCGCAGTATGAAGCGAGAGCCGTTTCCTTTGCACATGGCTTGGATTTTCAACGGTGTGGGTCGGGCGCCCAACACAGGACGTAAGGTTTCATCTTGACGTCGTTTTGCTTCATCCTGAATCCTAGACACATCTGCTCAGGACGATTGTGGGGTTTCAAGCAGTTCGAGAGTTTATAGTTTTGTTTTGGTCCTCCAACGAGCCTCAATCACAGAACTTTGGCAAGAGTGCGATTTCCCGAGAAAACTTCGAAGACGCACGCCCCTGTGCCACGAGGCCATGCAGCTCCATCCTAAACCCTACACCGTAGCTAACGCCCGGTCGCCGACGTCCCGTAATCTTCACACCTGAATTGCAAGCTCTGGAGTAGGTTTCCCTGCTGGACTGCTTGAGTCCCCACACTCGAGATCAGAGTCTTCAGGGAGACAGCTTAGTTTGGAAACGATTTGACTCAAACACGTGTAACGCAAGGATGAAACGTCTGCCTGGGTTCTCGGGGTGTGCAGTAAGGCAGTGCTGTTTAGCAGCAGCAGCACGACTGACCAGGTAAGAACATGTCAGTTTTGTTGGTCTCAGCGGCTCATCGATGCACCGAAGCTTTTGGTTCGAAGCCTTGGAAGCGTTTGGCCTCATTTCAACAACTTTAAGACGCTTGGCCGCATGTGGTTTCCTGCTCGGTCGAAGCTTCGAGAAAGCTGAGCGGTCTGGAAAGGAAAGAGGGGGAGGCGAAAGTTGGAGGGGGATTGATGGCCTGCGGGACTCGTTGAAGAAAGTTGCATGATGAACCATGTCAATTCTTTTTACTTCGTGGTCGTCAGTTTAATATGAGCCAGGGAGCGAGACATCATAAACAGCATCCAGACAGCAGCAATAATCTTAATCTTCACAGAACTCAGATAGTGACAGTGGCATTTGGATGAACCTTTTGACTTTAGATGGTGGTTCATGATTGCACCGAAAAAGAGTCTGCACAATCAATTTGATCCCAGACAATGCAGCGCTTCCGACCTCAGCGCCTGGCCGCAGCGGTGCGGCACAAGGCCACCAAGAGCGGCACATGGCTGGAGGTGCCTCGGCGGGTGGGGCAGCCTCAAAACTTCCGATTTGTTGGATGCTAGAGATTCGTTTCTGTACCAGACCTGTCCACGGGCCTGGCGTGCATTCAAACAAAGCCAGCGCACAGAACAGCTCCTGTTTACCGTCTTGGCAGTTTATGGCAAGACGCAGATACATGATGCGCTTTCGAGTTGAGGGGTTGGGGTTTGGGATCTGCCATGTTGACTTATTCTTCAGTCCCTTAGCTTAGGTATCATGCAGCTTCATCACACTTCATCCGTGTTTGCCGTTTGCCAGGGTGAGCTGAACTTGGACACCAACATGGTTCACGCCACTTGTCGTTGTTTCAGCCGGTTGGCGTGACTCCGAAGCAGACCGTGCCTGCAAAAGCAGTCGAGGCCCTTGCAGGAGAAGGGGTGCTGCGTTGTCGGTGTGTCGTCAGCCGGCACTCGTAGCTACACAGAGCCGGCACTGAGCGAAAACTACGCTCAAGGCCTGACGTGTCTTTGCTCACCAAAAGCTCCCGGGCCCCGGCACTGAAGCCAACAGCAGCCCCATAATGAACTTCGAGCCAGATGAAAACTCCTCTGCTCCGGCTCGGGGGACCTTGAAGCCGCCGCCAGCTCCCCCTCCCCGTGCCCCAAGCCACTAAGTAAGTTGCACAAGTTCAGACTAAGTCTTCGCAGTTGAGACCCCCACCACATCACGGTGCTCGATGATTGCCCGATCATTATTGAAACCACCTCCCATGTCCAAGGCCGCCGTGACTCCGGAACCAAAGAGCGGTGCCTTGGATGCAGGCGGTGTAAAGTTGAAGGATGTTGAAGGCTTAGGCTGAGGGTGGCATGTTGAGGCAGCTGCGGCCCGGTGGTAATGCGAAGTTCCCTGCGTTTTTGCTTCTCAGGTCGTACCTAGATCTCTTATAAGCACCCCCCGCCCCCCCCGGGGGGTTTCTGCATGCTGTAGCCTGATGGTCAAGGTTTCTAGATCGCTGACATCGTCACAGGGATGGGTTCTTGACTTGTATGAGACGCTGCTTCTGTGCTGCGTCTTCCGGTTGGTCCCTGTCCTCGTCATGCCTACGTTGGAGTGCTACAGTACCATAGTCAGTTGCAAGCTTCTGCAGTGTTGGTGTCAGTCCGACCAGTCCACGGGGGAGCGTTGAGGTCAGTCTGTGACAGCGTCCGATGTTTGCGGGCACAAGAAACGCTCTTGGAGGTTTGTTTTTAGCACACTCCGCCTGAGTACCTCCGAGCTTCTTGCGCAGACATGTAAGAACCCAGGATCGTCTTTGGTGCGACACCCTGAAATCTTGAAAGTGTGACGTTCTCGCTCTTCGAGGTGCCATCCTCACCCCCCTCTTCCTGTCCACCACCTTCATCCAGGACCTCCAGAGTGCATTTTCAAGGGACTTAGGTAGTCAATGTTTGCATGGTGTTCGAATGCCCACTCAGGATCCCTCTCATGTTTATCTGCGGATTACTCTGAAACCCACAACAAGCTTCACGTCAACTGTTCCAGCCATACAGTCGTCACACGACGTGTGGAAGCCTCAAGCCCGGTGAAGGAGTCCGTGGAAAAATACCTGGACAAGGACGCCAGGGTTTCTTAGAGACCAGTAACTAGTCCCTGGAGCCGAGGCAGCTGAATTCTGATGTCCTTTCCTCGTGTGGGTAGAGCCTGGAGCCAAACAGTGAAACAGTGCGAATTTCGCAAGTTGCGGAGGTTTCCTGATGGAAGGCTTCAGCTGTTGTCCGCACAGCCCTGTCAGACCTGACAGGGCTACAGCTACTCTCGCACCAACAACCCCACCGTGACGGCACTGGAAGAGAAGCTGGCCAAAGTGGAGAACGGGCAGCCGGGCTTTCGATTCCATTCTTCATGATCCTGTGAAGCTTTAGCCCTAGCCCTAAACCCGGAGCCTTATCCTCAAGCTTCTTTTGGCGGCTCTGAGATCCCGATGACGCACATACGCGGATAGATCATGAAGCCTTGGCCCTAAGCCCATACAACTACTAGCTCCTGAACCCCTCCTGTTGAGGGTTTCGGGGGTTAGTATTTTAGGGTTCAGTCAAAGCCTACGCAAGGTTTGGTTCCTCGGCATTCGGCACCGGCATGGCCGCCACCACCAGTGCCATCTCTGCGACCATGCAGTGCCCAGTCTCGGATAATGTTCTGGAGTCCCAAACGCCAACCGGGCACCTCCAGGGACATCTCCCCTCACCTTCTCTTGTAGTCCCTGGAGACAAGGCCACAAACCCTCAATCGCTAACTTCAGGGTTTGCAAAATAGTTTGGGGTGGATTTCGGGGTGGCGGCGACCAAGAGTTAGGCTTCGAGGGCCTTTTGGATTGCAAGGTTTACCCTGCTTTTCCCATGAAGCCGACGGGGGAGCACTCTCAGCCAGATTGACATTTCCACCACCCCCCCCTTCAGACCTTCGTGTGCACGTCAGGGCGGGTGATCACTGTGTGTCCTGGCTGCATGGTGAATGTGTGTGTGTGTGTGTGTGTTTGCCCGTGCTGGAGTGGATCTCCCACTCGTTCGCTCCCCCCCTAAGCTTCCCTGAAGCTCTGCAGAGAAGAGCCAAACCTGCCTGCTCATACGCCTATCTCTCTACCTACTTTCATCTATCGGTCTATGCTGTTCTATGGTTATGCATATATATATATATACACACATTTATTTATGTTTGTATATAGCATACGCATACACACACACACACACCTACACACACTCATATGCACACGCATGCACATGCTGATACACATACACATACACATATGCATACACATACACCTACAGGTACATATACATACACATACCACCCATACACACGTACAAATGCACGCTCAAATATGCACGCATCCACCCATCCATCCATCAACACACATGCCTGCATCTAAGCCTGCATTCATGCCTGAAAGCTATATCTGCATATAGGGTGTGATGTATAAATCTGTATGTGTACACAAGCCTCCACACAGCCACGTCTCGTTCGCTGATTGCTTCCCTCCCTCCATCTCTCCGTCGCTTGCCGTATTCCTTGAGTGCTCTCGGTTTGCCATGGCCGCGTGTTTTCTGCAGGTCATCTCGGACTGCTCCTACGGAGGCACCAACAGGTGCGGTGTAGGTGTAGGGGTTTCTTTAGCTCTCGGGTGGCGGGAGGTTTGTGAGCGCCGTGGTTGCTGGCCTTTCAAAGCCCAGGGCTGCCACAAGCTCACCACACAAGAACACCAAAAGGGTCACCTGTGCTAGTACCCCAACTTAACAGCAGATTCCCCCCACTACTGTGTTCAAAGCTCCTGTCATGGGATTTTTAGAAGGCACCACGCCCTACCTTAAGACTCAACGTTGTAGGATGTTCACGCAGCCTTCTTTCTTTGAACTCCCTTGTCGACCCCTTACTCAAGCTTGTAAGCGACCGTAAAACCCTTGTAACACTAAGTGAACTTGAAGCACGAAAGCCCCTTCTCTGGAGAGGGTCCGTGGGCGTCTCTGCTTCGAGGTCCTGCAGGGAGTTCTTTACCCCTTTGAACATGGAGCCTCCCGGCGGCCGATTCAGGGTTTACCGGGGTTGAGCGGGTTTCGGGTCCTTGGGGTTTTGGGTTTGAGGGGGTTTCGGTGTGTTGAGGGTGTTGTGATTTAGGGGTGAGAATTTGTGTTTCAAGGTCTTCGGTGTTTCAGGGGATGTCTTGCTTCCGAAGTACTGGGCAAAGCAGGTGCTGAACAGGAACAGATGTTGACGCTATATGCCGCTGGAGGGTTTGGGGCCGTTTGCTTCAGGAAGTAGTGTTCTGTTCTGGGGACATCAGGATCTCAGTCTTGGATTCACGATTCAAGACGATTCACATGCTCTTACTTTTCTTCGGGGGAGGGGGTTCAACTCCTGGGCACAGGCCCAGGTGGCTCTTGAGCTGTGCTACGAAGCTAAACGACGAAGAGATAGCTCCAAGGACACCAAACATTGGAAAATGATCGCCTCGACGGCCGAGTGCCGTTGTATGTCCTCAGGTTCGACTTCGTGGATTTCCGGGATCCGGAGAACGTCAAGAAGGCATCTAAACTTTTGAGCTTGCTGGCAGCCACCTCCAACCACGAAACCACGAAGCCAAACCAGACGAAAGCCCTGACACCTTGAAGCGATTCCTAGGTTTAGGCGCCATTTTCCAACCTGCTCGGTGCCAGGCCATGAAGCCCAATACCAAGCTTGTGTTCAGTGAGACCCCGGCCAATCCGGTTTTGCGCGGCCCTTGGATACTTGTGGCAGTTTTTTTTTTTGTGTGTGTGTGTGTGTGCGTGCTTAGCACTAAGCTTCGATTCCATTCGGGTGGTGTTCTCGCACTATGTGGGTGTGTAAGACATATGCTCGTGCAGGGTCCTGTGGCTGCGGCTGTGAGCAGATTCAGTGTCTCTTCAGCCTCGTCTTGCAAGTCTGCCAGAGTTCATAGGAGCCGCTGTCGACATCTGCAGTCAGACGCGTTTCAGAAACACGTCCCACCGCAAGAGCTGAAGCCTCCTGATGGGGACCCGGAGCCGCCTGGGGCCAGGTCCCTCACTGACATCGAGGCCGTTTCCAAGATCGCCCACGAGGCCTCAAGGTCCAAATTCTTCGGAAGAGGCTGTTTCGGGAACACCGCCGCTGATCTTCGAGGGCCCCAGGAGTTCGGCTGTGCTTCGATCTGATTCTGGTCGCTTTGTGAGAGGCGGGGGCCAAGCACGTCGTGGATGCGACGTTTGCCACGCCGGTGGGGCTCTCGGAGCTCTGCAGATCGCATTCGGCGTTTCTTGAGCTGCCGTACTTGCGGTTGGACGTTTGAGAGCCGAGGGTTGCAGGCTCGTTTCCTCTTGGCAGAACCCTCAACGCTTCGAGCCGAAGCCCTTGGCCCCAGACTCCCCAGGCCCTCTGAAGCAGAAACCAAGAGACACCCTACACTGCGATCAGGTCATCTGCCGTCCCCTCGACTGGGGAGCGGACATGGTGCCCCTTTATAGCATTTGAATGGCTGTGCGCTCCTTCTCGGGTGCCGGAACACCCGTGAAGCATATACCACCCGGCCGAGAAAGCAAAATCCCCAAAGCATAGAGCCCCGAAACCTAAGACGTCTGGTTGTGAGGATTTCAGGTTTTGGGCATTTGGTGCTTAGCGTCGCGGCTTAGCTGGATTCTAGTCTAAGGTATCCGGAGTGGCTAGTATTTTGGGAGCCGAGTTTCTGTTTTTTTTTTTTTGCCTAGTCGAAAGCTCTTTAACCTTTCGAAATCTTGGGCCCGGGCCCTAAACCGCCTAAACCTGCACCTCCAGACCGTAAGTTCTTACTAGACGCGGATCGTGCCCTGAACCCCAAACCTCAGCCAAAGCTTTTCGACTCCCGCAGCGGCACCCGCAGTCCCAAACTCCAAGCCGTCAGCACTGCACTTTTGCACAGGGTTATTATTAGTGGAGGTCCTCAGTTATAGTAGAGAGATCGACGAAGGGGGCTTGTTTAAGGGGTTCCTAAAAATTAGCTCGAGTAAAGTGGCCTGCCAATACTCCTGACACAGACAATCCCTGTGTTTGCAACCCTCCCTGCGAGTGTGAGCCCATTGCCCTCAAGCCGAGTGTAGCATTGAGACTATGAAAAAGCCCCAAGCCCTAAACCTTCAATCCTCGAACCCCTTTAAACTCGAAACCCTGAATCCTCGACCCGAAGCCTAAGACCATTCTGGTGCAGCTCGGCGAGTTGTTCTGATCTCAATTCGACGAGTACCTCCCGAACCACAAACCTTCAAAGTTAATAGGACTCAAAACCCGCGCAGCCCTGCATCATGAATAGCTTTTTGTTGTTCAGTTTTGCATTTGCGAAAGGATTCAGAGCCTCACCAAGTACTACGAGGGCCACAACATGATGACGGGAGGCATGTCGCTTCGCCGCTAGTCTCTGCTCCTTCCTCCACTAGCCTGCCTCTTCTCCTCACTTCACCCGAGCTCCCTGTCATGTTCCCGTGCGATTTGTTATGCAATTTTTCATTATGCTCATGCACGGTCTGTAAAGGGCTCCTCAGCTCCTCAACAATCTCCCCTGATGGCAGCAGGTGCCGTGATCAGCAAGGACAAGGAGATGCACGAGAAAGTCAAATGGGCCGCGCCCTCAACCATGTTTGCACATAATCGTTATAGTGCAATCATGCCAAGTTACAGGGGCTTGGAATCGAAGTGGCACGGAAGTTGATGTTTTCGGGTTGTGGGGTTAACCTTGAAGACCGGATTGCGTTGCTGTTTCGATGGATGTGCCTGTGGCATGGTTTCTGAGCAGTTCAGGTGCAGAACGTCCATGGCAACATCATCAACCCCTTCGCTGCATACATCATTCTCCAGACCAGCCCCGTGGTTGTTCTTTGGGATCCGCAGAGATGTTGCGAGATGTTAGGGATCTGTGGTTCGAGAGGCTCCCCAAGGCATCTTTTGACGTGTGGAGGCTCAGCATCGGAAATGATGGAGAGCATGCGCCATCTTGCAGAGATGTGGGGCGCGATCAAGCCCTTAGTGAGGTCCCCCAAGGTTTTTCCACTCAGTCATTGTCTTGCGGGGTTCCCTACACACTCAACTCCAGAACCTAAGCCACAAGACCTTAAGCTGAAGATCCTAAACCTTAAAACTAAGCAGTGCAACACCCAACACACAAAGATGCAAAGCCCCAAACCTTATTGGCTCTCCTGTAAAGGTTGCTGCACACCAAGGTCGTTGCTGAAGTATGGTTGCGTATATCACAATTCTGAATTTCTTTAGAGTAAAGTCGGTTCTGGAATACAAGTGCTTTGACATGTCAGTTTTCTCCAAGAACAGCCCGGGACCGAGGCAAGACCATGCACTTGCGGATGAGGCCAGGGAGGGCGAGAGAGAGAGAGAGAGATTCTGGCTGAGTGCAAGCAAGAGATAGCGAATCAGGGATGGGGTTGCTCGAACGAGCGGGCCACAGGGACTGCCTGTTGCTCTTACCCCAGAGCAAAGCAAAGCAAAGATCGCGAGAGCATCCGTTCCTTCCTCTCAGCTTGGGAAAGGGAGAGAAAGAGAGCTTGAGTTTAGGGTTAGTGGCGTAAAGGAAGCTTTAACAACGAGGGAAGCATCAGAAGAAGCACACAAATGAACGACAAGACGGACGCATGAAGACGAACAACCGCGAGATCAGACCAAAAAACGACCACAAGCAGAGACGGAATACTACACTACTGCAAAGCTTTGCCTTGGGGCTGTGCTAGGAAGCAGAGCGAGAACGCCATGGCGATCGCCCAGTTCTTGGAGAAGCACCCGAAGGCCCTCAGCGCACTTATCAAGCCCGGAACCCCAACAATTCACTTGACTTGCGGGAGTAGAAGGTCCTGATGTCCTGAGCCAATCACTGCTTTTTGCAGTGGCCTTCTCCTGATGCCTGTGGATGACATCCTGGCCATGTTGCTTTTGGCTGACTGTCATGTACTCAACTTGTCCGATGTCCTCTTTGAGATGAGGAGCGCTGGAATTAATTACGCAGCTTACGTAAGAGTCGGTCCCATCATTGATCTTCAGAGATCTTCGGAGTATGGTTGCCGCGGCATTCCGGCCCTCGGGAGATCTCGGGAGTTTGCAGGGTGCGAGGGTCTGTGTGGCTGTAGGGCATTATTGTCGGGTATATAGAAGGGCTTACCATTGTGCTTTGACAAGGTTTTTAGGCTTATTCGAAGTTTCCATGTCTGGACCTCCGGTGCCTGTGAGGTGACCAAAGTTGTGTCGCTGGTCTGCACGGATGCGCATGGGTTGTGAGCTTATGGCTTCCTTTGGCTTGGGGAACGCCCCAGGAGCCCTGAACCCTAAGTCCAAACCGCGAACCGAATCCTTGTATTCTGTGACTAAAGCGACAGCTTTGCGCTTGAAGTCTGATCGGGAGCCCCATGTCTTGAGCTAAAGCCTTGGAATTAACCCGAATTGAAGCCCAAAGCCCTGCAGGCCTAAGCCCGACAGGAATAGTAGTGCAAACACGTACGAACATGTAAGTATGCCTACGTGTATATATGCATTGTGCGCTTGTGTATATAATATGCATATCTGTACATGTCTGTATGGTGTTTCATGTTTTTATGCATAGACAGAGACTGAGGGAGTGAAGGACATATTCAAGACTCCATAGCAAGATGAGCTCTTTGAAGGATCCTGAAAAGAGCTATAAAGACTCCGTGACGAGCCTCATAATCCGGCCGTTTCAGGACTCCATCGAAAGGACTCCACAAGGACCCTTTTTCTCAGGACATACGGGCCGCAAAAGGATGCAGCAGAGCCTGCTCAGATCTCAGTAAAGAATCCATGCAGGAACCCGCAATAAGGACCGTAAAATAAACCCCGTCAAAAAACCTGCAGAGAACCTCGGGCCAAAGGTATCCGGGCCTTGCTTCGCACCCGCAGAAGGCGCTCGCCGACAAGCACCGGCCCCAGAGCAGGGGGGCGGCGGGCGGTCTGAAGGTTTTCTTGGGAAGTATTGAGGAGGTCAAACGCGGAAAAGGCTACAAGGGCTTCGGAAAAAGGATTTTGTGGGTGTTCCGGCCCTGTTAGACTCTTAGGCTCATGGGGGTTTAGTGCGAGCCTTTCGAGACCGAACCGTGACTTAGACGGTTGGGGCCTAGATGCCTCCTTGTTGGGAGCCTCTTGGACAATGTCATTTTGCAGGAGCTTCATGGGGCTGCATTGCAGGGCGATAGTTTCGCAGATGCTTGTTTTAGGCTTCTCTTTCAGTTGCGGGTATCTTGTCAAGATGCAATACCACCCAATAAATACGAAGCTGGAGATCGCAATTTCGATCACGCACAAACTCAGCAAGTTTGACCTTAGACCCGAGCTACCGGCTCGCAACAAGCAGCCAAGAGTCTAGCGGGGAGTAGCTCTCAACACTTAACTCCCTGGATGCTTGTGACAGGAGGACTTGTTGCCATGGCGCCTCGCAGAGCTTCCATAGGGGTTCGTTTGCTTCAGAAGATTCCGTGTTCTGTGAGAGTTTGAGGTTTAGGGTCCCAGGGTTCACAAGCCATGGTGGCTACTCTGTATGACTGTCTATTAAGACACCTTACAGTCTCCGAATGATGAAAGTCCCCCCATGACTCAGTCATAATGGCACTCCCTTGCCAATCGCTATGGGTTCACGGCTTAGGGACTGCCCCGTCGGAGGTACCACCGCGATGGTCTGCACGGCGGCATGCTGTGGAGACTCGTCAGCACCAGTGTAGGAAGGCGGAATGCGGAATGCTGTTTTGGATCCGATGGCCATGATGAAGACCGATGACTTCGAGCCTGGTGTTTTTTCTGCCTAAATGCGACCGATGAAAGCACCCACGAAGACACACAAGTTGAGCGGCGTTGCACGTGCGTGGCACTTCAGAAAGCTCTCTTTGCTGCGCAGTCAAACAACACCCTGCAGCCTTGGTGGCAGCTTTGTCCAGTTGCTTGTGCACAGATGGCAGCTCCAGTTTTATCGGAGCCGGCTGAAGTGCGTCAAGGTGCTTGCAGACCAACTAAGACCGAAGATACTGGTAAGAGCCTCCAAGTAAAAAGCCATGACCTCAGAAGCAATTGCGAGATCTTTGGCGACCTTTCGCACCTCCAAACCCCTCAGCCCTAAAGCATGTAGTCGAAACCCCGGCAGCCCCGAAACCCCCCCAACCCTATGCCCTAAACCCCAAACCCCGAAAGCTTTAACCGCCAACACGCACACAAAGCCTTCACCGCGTCAACTCAGGTTCGACATCGTCGGGGGCTCTGAAGCCGGCACGAAGCTGATGAACGTTCCTCTGCTGAGTTGGGGTGGTCTGTGGCTGCTGCCTTCAATAGAAGGGTTCAATTGTGATTTGGACTGTAGCTCATCATTCGTATAGGTTTCGGCAAGCACCGGACCAATCAGTAGGCGAAATAACATCCCCAAGCTGCACATGAAGCCCTCCAAGAAGTCTACGAGCCCAGGTGTGCCAGCGACCCTGGAGCTTGTGTGAAAATCTCGGAGCCACCGAGCGCCCTGACAAAAAGCGGGAATCTTCCTGAAGTTGTGTAAGGCCCCAGCTTCAAAATCCCTGATCTTACACACTTGTGGCACTTGTGCCTCGCATGGCTTTACGATGGACCTGTTGAGATTCGGGTGCAGAGCACGCATGACGCATGAATTCCGATCATCAGATCCTCCCAACACAAGGGTCTCAGCCTTGGGGCATGCAAGGAGTCGCGAGGATTCAGATCGCGGGTTGTCGGAGTGCAGCACTGGAGGGCTCCACGAGCATGAACCGAAAGCCGTCAACGTAAGGAGTCCTGGGTCCATGAAGCCATGAGCCAGATATTTTTCTTGAAGCTTAGATTGTGTCTGGCTTAGAATTTGACGGGTTTGTGTGTTTGTTTGTTTGTTCAGTAGTTAGAGATTAGAAGGCCTTGCTTCAGGGCTTTCACAGTTATTCCATGGTTGAGATTGGAATCTGCCGAGGAGTATCATCACAGCCTGCGCTGTCATGACCCACGCCAACATGCTGAAGGAGGATCCCTGGATGGAGCAATCTGAATTTGGGTTTGAGTCTGATGAACTGTAGCCGGTCTTGTAGTTGAAGCTTTGGGGGGGGGGCTAAGTGCCCTAAACCCTCCGAGCCTTCGGTCCGCCCGAGCGTCTCAGGACCGTCTCAAGGTCCGGGACCCGGGCATCAGGAGCTGTGCATGGCGCTTGGGGCTGTCGCGCTTTCCAGCCTAAGCCAGGGTTATGGCTGAGGGCTCAGGGGGCTCAGCATTTCGGGGTCGGGGTTTGAGTTCAAGTCGGGACAGCTGAACAGAATCTGGCAGAACACATCGGCTGCAGGATGCTTTCGCCAGCTTCATCCTAGACTCCTAGACTCCTAAAGTCCCAAGCCCTGAAGCGGAGAGCCGACGAGGTGGGCATCACCGACGGCTTCATCCGTATCAGCTGCGGTATCGAGGCCCACCCTAAGCCCTAAACTCGGAGCCACGGGATCCGAAGGGATCGTTGACTTCTGTGTGCTTCCGGAAGGCTTGACGTTGGGTCCTACTAGTATCGAGTAAGCCACTGATGGTCTTGGTGCTTTGAAAGCAGTGATGTTCTCGATACACTGAAAGGAACACCACTGCTTGCTGTCACGCTTGAAGGAGGTCATCTCGATCCCACGGGTTTCGCAGTAGTTCTGACTCTGACTGCAGGGGAATCTTGCCTTGAACTGCAAGCCAAGCCTATTCCGAAAGAGCCCCAATCGAAGGAACCTCAGAGCTTCAATTCCAGCTCCCGTGGCTTAACAAGGGGTTCCTCCTTTGGGGGACCATGGTTATCACTGCAATATGTGTTCTCTTTTTTGGGGGGCATCCCTTGTTATCAACTCGCCCGAAAACCCAGGATCTTTAACCCCAAACTCTGAAATCCCGGATCCCGGGAACTCTCCGAGAGCCAGAGCCGCACTGCCAGGACTCAGCAGATCTGATCCGGGCTCTCGAAGTAGCGCTGGCGCAGATCTAAATATCGGCTAGGTTCCCAGCCGACGACGTTAACTAAACGAAGCCCAAACTCAAAACGTTGGGGCGTTGTTGGGATGTTGCATCCAGCGGATCTTTAGCTTTCATCTCTGCTAACCTTAGACGTTCTCCAGCAATTTTCCCTTGCACCTGACATCTCTTCCTAAAGTTCCAGAGCATGCAAGGCCTGTCTGGGGATATACTTTGAGGATTTCGGGGCGGGGTTAGGGGCTGTTCCTGCTCCGGCAATCAAGAAAACATTAGAGCCCTTCTTGGGGTTGTCGCACGCAAACTATAGAGGCCGAACCTGTGACAGAGGCTAGACATACTTGGCGAAGCTTTCAATACTGCTGGTGCTTTCCTTTCAGGAATACTTTCCTTGCCTTTGTGCCTTCCACGAAGGGCGAAGCGATGACGGGTTGTCTAGCTGAAGGTGAGCCGTTCCTGCACTCCCAGTCTTGAGAGCTCTCTCTACTGAATCCTACGAGTCTACGTTGATCCTTGTTGTAACAACCAGCGCTGCGCGATTGCGCCGCCAACGCTGGCCGATGGGCAATGTGGCCGTTTTTTCGCTCAGGCCCTGTGCCCAGACGCCGAAGGCCCCCAAGGAAGAAACCGAAGGCGTGTGCCAAGGCCACGCCCCTCGGCCCTCTCATCAACCCTGTTCTTAGGGCACCACTTGCAAAAAGGACTCGAAGTGCCGTAGACTTCTGACTTGTGATGATTTTTAGCGAAGGTCGCAAGTTTGGCTTTTCAACAGCGTGGCCACATGTCTTGTGAGTGCTTGAATTGAGGGGCGCGGCACTAATCCCGTCAGTCTTGCTAGGAAACTGCGTTGCATTACGCACGCTTCGATGGTTGCTTGCATGGTTCTTCGGGCAACTGGTCCGTTTCAGCCGCTGGTGTTTGCTGTATGTGCTCTACGGTGCCTGCTTAGTCGTGCCGACGATCCATCGGCAGCAAATCAGAGGAGGTCTTTGGACTGTTGCGCGTTAGCGTTAGATCGCGTATTCTGGCGGAGTTGGAGGACCAACCCTCGACCCGAAAGTCTAGATCGTAGGTTTAACAACATAAGGAAAAGACCGTCGGCCCGTCGGACTATCGGCAACGTCTCCTGCGCTTAGCAGAGATAATCCCGAGCCAACAGCGCAGTGCGCGCCGGAAAAAGGGGCTCAACTTCGTCATGCTGCTGGTTCACGAATACGTGTTTGGGACAAATTCGATACCCGTCGGAATACTCTTTTGGAGGTTTGAGGGTTGAGTGGCACCCTCACAGTATTTTTCAGGGCCTAACTCGAGGTTGTTGATGCATTGAAGGTGTGGCTACCATCGTGGGAGTGTGCTGTGCGTAATGCAAGCAATCGTCGACAAGCGACGTCTTCGTGCCAAGCACAGAGAACGGTAAACATCCGACTTCGGTTCTCATCAGTCTTGCTACGGATCGTCAAGTGATCTACCTGGTTACCTCTGCCAAGCAATCATGCAACGCACCGCGTATTTTCGGGTGACACTCCTTTGTGTGGCTCGGGTGACACTCCTTTGTGCTGACTTCATGTTGTTGACGAAAGACCCCGTCGTTCTAGCATGAACGCTGACTTCTAAACCCACGGCATCTGCAACAGTTTCTTGTAAAGCCCTCAAAGAACCCTGAGAACTGTCGTCCTGACTGAGCTTGCGTTTGCTTCAGCAGTTGTCTGACATGCTGCAGCGTTTTGCAAGCGTGGTAAAACAACGAAATTAAATTTTGAGGAAAACAACAGCAACAAGCTTAAGGCAGCAAAAGTCATCTTGAACTGGCCTGACACAAAGATGGACTTAGATATCTCCTCCGGCTCACGTTTCTGCTCCCTCCTTGGGAGCGGGGCAGCAAGACTCGCCATCTGACCCACATGCCCGCAAGAAGCCTTACTTTTCGGACCTAGTCACTTCTGCTACCCCACTCCTCCCTGAAGCACCAAGCACAGACTCACAACCTGACACTCGAACCCTCGAAATCTTACGCAGCCCAATTTCTTCACGAACCCTTCAGAAAAGTAAGCCTCCACCAAGGAGCTAACAGCACCGCGTGAAGAGTTTAAGCATGTCGGCGGCCGGCTTCCGTTTCTTCGATGTGGCCAGGTGGGCTTTGTCCCAACCCTGTTTCCTCAAAACCCCGTTGGATTGAAGGATTTAGGTTTTAGGGTTCTGATGCTGTGCATAGGTGTGTTTATCCAGCAAGTGCAAATGCACGACATCCACACGGTGACGGAGCAGCGACAGAAACTACCACAAAAACTTCCGCATCAAAGCCCGAAGCCCAGTCGAAGCTTCAACTCTTCAGCCAAACCTTTCGCTGCCCAGACCCCAAGCCACGTCCAACCCGAGCCCCAGACCCGAAGCTCCCCCCGAAAAAAGCTTTCCAAGTGCAGAGGCCCCTTTGCTTCGCCGCTGCCGCGGCGGCTGCCGCCGCGAGGCGGCTGGAGCAGCCGGCGCCGGAACGAGGCTGGGGGTTTGGTATTCGCGTTATAGCCACAATAGCCGTTATACTTACACCCACTAGATGTTAAAACTAAAAAGCCATTCTGAAAATGCTGCGGCGGCTGAAATGGAGAAAACGTTTCAATGTCCGAAGTGCCAGGCCGGCATCGGCGGCAGTGGTTTGTGCCGGGGATTCCAGGCCGGTCCTAGCTGGCTCCTTTGAGATTAATGATTCGGGTTTAGGGCTTAGGGTTTATGGGTTTAGTTTGGGTTTACGTTTTAGGGTTCTGAGTTTCTCCGAAGAGTACCGCGGGAGCTGCTGCAAGGCTCATGTTACCCTAAATCCTGTTGGGTGCCTTTCTTCTGCGTCTCCGCTTTATGATCTGCTGTTGCCATGACAAGAAGGAGCTCTAGAGCTTCTCGGGCTTCAACCTGCTTTTATATTGTTATTTTTTGTGGTAATTGGCATTCGATTATCTAACATATTACCAATATGTCATTAGTATCCCATCAATATACCAGATTATACCGTAACTTCAATAACAACATACTTTCATATGCCAGAATATACTATACCACTATAATAATATACCAGAATAAACTATAATGTACCAGCAACACACCATAACATACTATAATATCACCTTTAGGATTTCGGTTCGGTGAGACTTTTCCTTTCAGGCACGCGAGGCCACGGTGACGTTCTTTGGTGCGAGACCGCCAAGAAGGTCGGTTCAAGTTCGACTGCGTTTAAGATAGCCGACCTTCTGCAACGCTCCTTTGACATTTTCGGCATGAAGTGAAGAAGTGTTACGTTCCTTGGCAGCTGCACGCCTTCTTTGCATTGCTCCAACCCCGAGACCCCGGATGTCGACCCTTGCAGCCTAGCCGACTTTGATCAGGTTGCCATTGGCATCGACCTTGGAACGACCTTCTCCTGTGTGGGCGTGTGGAAGGCCTGTCTCAAATCCGAAGCTAGCATAGAAGACGTCGTCGTCCTCGCCGTCGTCGTGGCCGTCCTGTCGTCGGAGTCGGATTGGTTTAGGTGGGAAGAGTGTTCTTATCTTTGGGCTGAGCTTCTGCTGATATCCTCGCCTCCCCCGAAGGCCCGACGGCCCCAGTTTTTGTTGACAGGACGGCGGTGTCCAGATTATCGAGAACTCGGAGGGCAAGAGGACCACGCCCTCCTTCGTTGCTTTCACCGAGGCTTTCTGGGCTTCGGGGCTTCAGTGCAACCGTTAGCAATCTTTTGCGGCTGCTATTCCGAAACCTGTGTGCCGTGCTCAGCCCGCCCATGGGCCATGGGGGCCTCAAACCCGGGCTTCACAAGCTTGCATCCCAATCAGGTCAGAGGCATCTTATTAAAGCCGAAACCTTGTCAAGAAGCCTGCTTTCCTGATGAAGGCTCTTGCCCTCTTGTTTTGGACTCGAAGGTTTTCTACGGAAAGGACAAGGTGTGACAGGCCGACCTTCCCAGACCCTATGGCCTAGACCTCTTTATCAAAATCGTTCATTCGGGTGAGAAGCCCTGGTTTCACACTTGACCCCAAGCCCCCAAACCCGAAATATTCCTAAATCAGAAAATCCGAGGCCCTAAACCCGAAATAGTCCTAAATCCTGAGCCCCAATAGTGCTCCAAAGCAAGCCGACCGTGCGGGTCGGTCAGGCCGAACGCCTCGTCGGTGATGCCGCCAAGGCGCAGGCTGCGCGGAATCCCGCGAACACGCCGCCTGACGGGAGTTTGAGGAATTTAGGGTTTCAAGGTTTATAGGGTTTAGGGCAAAGGGTTTAAGACCAAAGCTCAGTGTGTTGAAAGCTTTGTTGGGGGGCTTGACCGCCCCCCCAACATTCCCCCACGCCAGCGTCCCTGAAACATGTGTTTGGGAGTCTGCCCCAGGGTCTACGACGCCAAGCGGATCCTCGGCCGAATCGAGCAATGGTCAAAGTGGGCACTGGCTGTAGGGTCGCACTGCTTTGGGCCTTGATGGTTTGGAGGTGTAGGCAGGGTTTATGGATGCATTGACGGCTGATAGCTTCAGGACCTTGCACCGCCGTGTAACGTCCCTTAGCGCCAGAGTCCAGAGTCCGAAGACTGCCACGGCCATGCACGCGTCTTCATGGGCACCTGCTGCTCGTAGCATGAACCTCACATCATTGTTCGTCTTCAGACCTAGAGGTTCCGTGGCATTCCGTGTTGTTCAGCTGATCTGACTGGTGCTCTACTCCTCTGCCGCAACAGAAGGAAGGCAGAGCTGATCTAGGAGCCATCTTGCCATCTTTTTGGCTTCCTCTTGAGGCTCTAGACTCCCTAGACCCTCGCCCTACATTACAATCATTACAAGACCCTGCATGGCGGCGGCAGCTCGAGGCTTATCGGTCGGAAGTTCCAGGACGCACCGGTGCAAGCGGATATCAAGCACTGGCCTTTCAAGGTGGGAGCTCTGGTTTCTACGTTGGGCAGAACTCGGGGCTTAAGGCCTTCGGGTGTTTAGCAACGTTGGGGCTTTGGGACCCCGGGGCCCCGGTGACGGTTTGTACTGTATCGTGCTTTCGGGGCTCGACAGGCTCAACTGGGCGGATTTAGGTATTCTGGAGGATGGGAATGATCTCGGTAGTGGCTGAGAAGACACGAGGCGTCTTCCGGATAGACCATGAAGCACAAAGACCTGCGACTCGGGAAAGCTCCATGTGTCTTCATTTTGTAGCGGAGGCTTGTTTTGTCGACTTCTAGCTCCTTGAAGCATCGAAGCACAAGCCCATCCAATCACAGATTTCCGCAATAGTCGGCGACACTCCAAGCAGCTGCAAAACCTATCTTGCAAACCCTTACCCAAACCGTTCGACATTGCGGCATCCAGAGACTTGGAGATAGTTTGAGCTTCCCATCATGTGTATGGTTTTTCGAACAAAGCAGGCCGAGGGCTCAGGTTTGGGATTCGCCGCAGCAGTATGCGATGCTCGAAATCATTCCAGCAAGTTCCTTCGCAGTCTCAAACATCTGCAACTTTTTTGGTATGGTTTTTCCAACGTTTCAGACCCTTTTCGCATGCTTCAGGAGGGTGTGAAATCCCTGAACAGGTGCCCTTTGAAGAGACCCCGACAGCCTTGGGATTGATTCAGTAACCCTGAACTAACAGTAACTAACATCCAGAGCGCGCAGTGCCATGCAGGTCGTGCGCGGGAAAGACGACAAGCCGCTGGTCGAGGCGGCAGTTTGCAGAATCCAAGCTTTGTGAATCCAGTCCGAGGCCGGTAGCGGCAAACCCTACTGACTTCCAGCTGTTCTTCGTTTGGGCATTCGGCATGGCATCTCATTGCCAAGATCCCCCTTTTCCAACTGGCCATGTTTGCGGTGCTGGATCACTCGATTCCTAAACTCGAAGAGCAGAAGGGAGGCCGGTTTGCGGTTCGGAGTGGCCACCCGGGTCCCCTCTACTTCCGTCTTCGTCGGGTGTTAGCAGTCCGAGTCGAAGCCAAAAGAAGAAGTCCCCAAAGAACCACGGACGCACTTGTCAGGGATGGCATTTCTCAGAGGGGCCTTTGGACAAACTTACGGCTACGGTGGAGCCACGCCAAGGTTTGGCTCATGATGATGATCTTGTCGCAGTCGTCGCCGTTGTCATGGTCGTCGTGGTGCGAATTGTCTTTCGGACTACGCATCCAGTGCAGGTGCAGTTCCAGGGCAAGACCAAGCAGTTCCATCCGGAGGAGATCTCAGCACGGCAGCCAAGCATTTCACCGAAGCCCTGTCCGCAAGCGCTTGACACTAGGCCCCCGCCACCCAACACAGTTGATGCCATGTGTAGCAGCTTAGGCGGATGTCTAGTCTCGGTTTTTCTTGGCTTAGTTGAAAAACTCCGCTGGGTTGACGATGAAAGGTTCCAACATGAGGAAAGCAAGTGAAGACAAAACATGCTACAGGGGAGTGCTTCGCCCGCAGTATGCCGAGCCATTTCTTCCGAACTATGACAGATGCAAGGCAGAGCCTCCCGGGGTGTAGCTGAGGCCATCGTCCTCCAAAAGATGAAGGAGACAGCCGAGGCTGAAGCAGTGGGGAGAGAGTTTTGTGAAATCGCTTCCAGTGCATGTGGCAAGGAAGCGAAGCGTTGCCTTGTCGCTGACAGTTTGTTTGCCAAGTGGTGTTTTTCAATGAGGGGAAACGAGTGGGTTGAATCCATCGCTTCGCAAATGCTGACGGCTGACGGCTCACAGAATTCCTTTGCTTCAAGCTGCAAGCTCGAAATTTCGTAACGCACGCACCAGAATGGAGGCTCTAGGAAAGATCCTCGGGCCTAGGGGGAATCACCCAGCGGGCTTCAAAAAAGTGCAGCGGCGAAGCTTAGAGTTTCATAACTGCTGCAGGACACAGAGTGAGGTAATTCCACAATCGTTGCAAGGTCAGTCTCTCCCTTTCCCTGTCCTGCAGGCCTACTTGGGCCATCCTGTCACCGACGCTGTTGTCACAGTCCCCTCGCCGGCGTTTGATATGCATGGGGGGTGTTCCCCGGAAAATACCCTATGAAGGGTTCCTGATACCAAGAGGGTCCATTCTCTGGTTCACTGCTCTCTGAAACTCCCGTGTGGTCTGCGCGTGTCACTGCATGGCAACAACAAGAAACTCTTCCAAGCTCAGCCAAAAAGCACACCGAGGTGCCGGCGTACTTCAACGATTCCCAGAGGCTCCGTGAATGCAAGAATGGGAAGACTAAGAGGAAGTCCTTTCAGGAGTCGTTTGGACGCGACCTAGCTTTTTTCGTCTGATGCTCGGGAAATGGAAGACGAATGTGGCTGTTGGCCCAGAGATTCGGCTTCAAATTGGCCCTAAACCTTGTCAAACCCCAACTTCTAGCATGAGTCCAACCCCAGTGGAGTCCGACCCGCTGCGCTTCCCGGATCGACTCGAGGTTTCAAAAGGAAGCCCTGAGACCCTGAGAAATCCATCCCCCCCGAAGGGGCCAAGTTCCAGAAAGCTTTCAACTCTCATTCCGGGAATGTGGAAGGCAAGCGACCAAGGATGCTGGGGCCATTTGCGGCCTCAACGTGCTGAGGCCATTCACGGTTTGCAGCGCTTCGGTTTTCGGTTTTTGAGTCAGGCTCGGGTTTACTTTCAGGGTCCCCCAAACCCACGTTGGAAGAATGTGTTATGTCGTCGAACTCTGAATGCTTAAATCCTGGACCTTCAACTCCAGAAGCAGCGGAGGATAATCAACGAGCCCACGGCGGCGGCATTGGCTTACGGCCACGAGCTTAGCTTTAAGTGGATGGTGGTGGAAATTGTTGTTGGTGGCAGTGGCGGCAGTGCTAGGCCCAGGAGCCGTAGTAGCAGCGGCAGCACCAGTCGCAGAAGTGGTGCAAGTAGCAGCAACAGTTAGTACAACATATATAGTGGAACATAGATTGTATAGTGTATACGGTTGAGCCCCTAATATGTATAGGTGTATATATATATATATCTACATACATACACACACACATGCACACAATACAATACAATAGGTTGTATAGAATTACATACCTATGTATGTATGTCTGTACGTAAGCATGCATGGCTGGATGGATGCAGGTATGTCTGTATAATGTCCAAGGCTTAGACTCCAGAGAGCGGAGCGCCCGCAATGCCCGGATCTTGGTTGCGGGTTTTAAGGCTCGGGATCTAGCTCTGGGTGGGGATTCGTTGCTGTCCGTAAGCCCAAGAACCCAACCCTGAGACCGGGATTTCCATGCGACTGTGTGTGGGGGGGGAGGGGGCAGTCAAACTTTGATTTTGGGTGGCGGTTGCTTTCAGATTGGGATTTTCGTTGCTTTGTGGCTTAGTACTTTGTCTATCAATGCTTCAAAGCTGCTGGAAACGCAATCCCAGGTTGTTGCTTCTTGGGTGCAATGTTCAGGAGCTGAGGGCTGTCCCATCGATATGGCGTTATGGGTCTTTGGTTTCAGGTTTAAAGTGTTGGGACATAAGTTGGTTTGGGACAGGGGCTGCTTCAGGATTGCACATGACGTGGTCGCGTGATGACAATGTCTGTCGAAGTCAGTTCCCAGGAAGTGTGTTGGCCAAGTAATGCTGTCACGAGAACAGCTTGGAGTGAGGTTGGATATCAGCAGTTTCCAAGACAGTCTATTGCAAAATATTGCAAGTACCCATCCCTCCGAGCTTGGACCCTTCCTTGGCGGCCTAACTCTGCCCGAAAACTGAAGCCCTAACCCGAATTCCCGATATCAGGTTCTGGTGTACGACATGGGAGGTGGAACGTTTGATGTCTCGCTTCTCGAAATCGAGGTGCAGCGGGGGTGCATTGGTGGATTTCAATGTTTTCCTAAACTCAGCACCCCTGGCCCCTCCCCCAAATCTCAAGAACGCCAGAATGTAAGATGCGCAGTCATCATCAGTGTAAGCCTTGCAGGGAGGAGTAACTCGCTTCAAGGCCTTGGGCCTGAGAAAAGATACATCGCCATCCCGAAAGGTTTAGGAAGCCTTGCCTGTGGTTTTGAGGGCCATTTTCTGTGTGAAGGACCAAAGGAAGCAAGGAAGAAAGGAAGAGAAGGAAGGAAGCAGGGAGGGAGGGAAGGAAGGAAGGATCATTATTATTCCTAGTAATACTCCGAGGACTATCATTATTATTGCTCTGAGTAGTCTTAACACCATTGCATATTTAAATGCATGTTCTTATATATATAGATATATTTGTAGCTCTGCACAATCAAGTTTGCATTGAGGGGATCTCCAAACGGTTTAGGACGCTCTTCCGCTTGTTTTGCCAAGCTGCTCTTGCGAATGTGGCTCGACTGGCTAAATCATCGAAAGTGTTTCAAGGTTCGTCACATGACGAAGGCCATACACCTGGTCCCAAGATATCGCAATAGTACGTCTTGGTAGCTGCTATTCCTTACATTCAGTCTAGCCTGCGAAGGCTCCTTAACCAAGTGTTGGCATGTGATGCCCCCTTGAGATCTACGAGCCGAAGCCTCGAAGACCTGTTAAAGGGCCTTTAGGGTGCTGTTTTGATTTTGTTTGCGTGGGGTTGAGGGCTGAGCGGGGGGAAGGGGAAGTCTTTCAAAGCAAATCTTATCTCTATGCTCCCGCAGGACGGCGTCTTCGAGGTCAAGGCCACTGCCGGTGACACTCATCTCGGTGGTGAGGACACTGCGACGGTGCTGGTTCGTGCACTCATCACCACGGCGGTGCTAATGATGGCTGTCGCACGTAGTACATGCGCTAGTGACTGCGCATGGGATCAAGCTGATGTGCTCTCGCAGCTAGGACTTCAGCAATCGCCTTCTGGAGCACTGCATCAAGGAGCCCGGCTTCAAAAGCTAAAAACTAAGGGCTGTTTGGTTTACATGTGTGTTGTTTTCAAGATTAAAGCTTTTGGCAGGAACTGACTGGCTTTCTGTAACTTGCTTGAGTTTCTGTTTAGGATGCCCTGCAACAGCCTGGTGGCCGCAAGATTTCGACTGAGGTCACAGTCAAGCCTTGGCACATCCAAAACAATGGGACCACCTAACTAAGCCTTACGACTAAAGCCCTAAAACCGAACATCCCGCTTGACATGGGTATTCCGTGGCCCCCTACACCCTAAGCGCACATGTAATCAAATCGAGATCCCGGTGATTTTACAACCAATCGCCAGAGGAGTTCGAAAAGAAGAACCGCGGAAAGGCCTTGGCAGTGCTTTGTCGGGTTCGAGGTTTTGGTGAGCTGCAGGGGATGCAATAAATGTTTTGGTTGTGGGATAGCTTGTGTCACGCCGGTGGTAGCTCCGAAGTCCATACAGCTTTGGCTTCGCCGACTGAGCCTTATCTGTACAACACAGACGCATAGTTTTGTATGTACATATATATATATACACATGTGTACATGTGTGTGTATATATATATGTGTGTATATATATGTGTGTATATATATATATATTTATATTTATATTTATGCACGCCACAGGAGGTCCGTAAAAATCAGCGGGCCCTTCGGCGACTTCAAGCCGAATGTGATGCAGCCGGCGCCTAAGACAGCTTTTTCAGAGTTTTCTGGTTTGCCCCAGAGTGACCCTGCGGGTCGTATGGGCTTTGGTGTTTGTTTTTGGGCTTGTGACGTGTCTAGTGTATTAGTATTGCAGTACAATTCGGGTCTCCAGGGACTTGCTCTTTGCGGATGTAGATCTTTGGCGTTTCTTCAGGCTTGCGTGGCATTGCTTGTAGGTTAAGCGCTCAGAATGCTGCTGTCAGTGCATTCGCTTAGCAAGCCTCAAGACGATGCGTGTCAATGGCTCTTGCAAGGGTCATTGCCCCAGTCGAACCCATGGATGCCAAGACCCCGAACTGATGCTGTCTCCAGTCCCCGAACAATCGGCTTCGTCTTGAACACCATAAGCCCTGAAGCCTTAAGCTTCAGTTGGCTACAGCGACCTTCGCAAGAATTGCCAAGGCTTGAACCCTAAACAACTTCAGCGCTCTTCCGAAGACCACGGCGAGATTGGTTGAGTCCGCTCTGGAGCCAAGCGCTCGTGCTCAGGCCAAGAGGACGCTCTCCTCATCCGCACAGGCATCCATCGAGGCTCCGACGGGCCGGTTGTGACGTTGTTTCTTCTGGGTTGCTAGACGGTTTTCAAAGTGCGACTCCTGCGCATGCCAAAAGACTGATGTTTGCCGTTGGCTTGGCGACCCCCCCCCAGGCGAAATCATGTGAAGTGTAGACAACCCTGCTTTTGTTTGCAATCTGAGACCCCCTGCTGACATCCTGCAGCCAAGAACCTCACACCGAACCGCCTACCTAAGGTTGTTGGGGTGCCTAGCTACAACAGCCACAACCCATCGGAAGCAAAAATGCTCCTGCTTCAAAAACCCCTCGGAGCCTTGCGCCATACTCCTTCACATCGCAGAGGTCGATTCCCTCCTGGACGGGCTAGACTTCTCCCTGGCAGTGAGCCGGGCGAAGTTCGAGGAAACTCCGTTGGATGTCTTAGTTTCGGTGGTCGGAGGTAGTGCAGGATTGTGAACTCCAGGGTTTTAGGTTGGGCTTCGGGACGTCCACGTAGGTCCTTATGGGAAGTCCTGACCGGATGTGAAATCACCGATCGGGATTGCCCAATCCTCAACCGTAGACCCTATTCCGGCGGATCCGGAGATGCAGTCATGTTGATTGTTTTCATTGGGGTCTCGATGAGTGCGCGCGGGGCTCCCTCGGGATGATGGTCAGTAGACGTTTGGGCTTCCTCTTCGGGATACTAGTTACTTTTGATTCACACCCGACTTCATATCCTGCAAGGAGTTGAACCAAGACCTGTTCAAGCGGTCGATGGATTCGGTGGAGAAGGTGAGGGGCAAACTCGCTGTGGGGTTGACTTTGGGTTGGTGCCTGAAGTACTTTGTGCGACGTACCGGAGCTTTCGAAACAGCAATGCCTACAGCATGCGATAGTAGAGTATGGTACGGTATAGTATAGTTTCTCTTGTATAGTATATGATATTTAGTTTTCTCTCGCATCGTTCAGTCTAGTCCAGTATAGTCCAGTCCATTCGAGTATAGTGTGGTGTGGTATGGTATGGTCTAGTTTTAAGTCTAAGCATAGTGTCGCCTAACCTGCTCCTTGCAAGCGACGAGGTGCTCAGCGATGCAAAAGTCGATCGGAAAGCGATTGACGAGGCGAAGCTTTGTGCCCCAACGCCCGAACAACATACCACAATATACTGAGTCGTATTGCAATACACTACAAGAAACTACAATACACAATCGTATACTATAATATATTCCAATATACAATGATGAACTTTAGTATGATCTACTATAAAGCCTCGAGCCCAATACCCTGAATGGCAAAGTAGAACTCCTGAAGCCTGCCCTAAAACGGTCTTCAATTTGGGGACTTGGTGTTCCATGCGTCTGGCAGGGTGATCCTGAAAGATTGGCAGAGGGGCAAAAATCTGAGAGTTCAGACTCTCCGACTGCAGCTTCCACGCTTTTTCTTGCAGCTGTGACATGTCGTAGAGGCCGTTGGCATGTGGAACGGTATTCGAAGGGTGCCAAAAAGATGTAGAGTTCAGAAGCAAGATCCAAATATGTACAACATCTCGGCCAGAAACATTAGTGTCGTCATTGCAACAGCCGGCTAGTGTTTGGGGCAAGTCTAGGCAGTAAGCTGAAGTGCAACAAAGCAAGCCGCCAGCTTGATAGCAAGCTCCTCGAATCGTGGTGCAGGTAGTGCTGATCGGGGGCTCCACCAGGATACCGTACGTCCAGAAGCTCATCGAGGACTCAAATGCTTTCACTGTCCCCAGCGTGATTGTCAGCATCTCTGCCTGGAGTTTCTAGAAGCCACGGGTGGGTTCAGGTAAGCGTTACTCTATGGACTGGCATAAAGGCTTGCTTTACGTCGTTCATGGTTGCCACATGGGTGTTTGCCCGGAGGACTACTTCAGGAAAGAGCCCTGCCGTTCGATCAACGCGGACGAGGTGCGGGGCTCTCTCTTCATGGTAGGGGTGGCTCAGGGTGTACGGGATGTGCTGCCCACCTATGGGGTGTTGTCGTCCACGAGCCAGGGACTTCCTCGTAGTTCCCGGGAGTCCGCTGAACGGCTTACAGTGGGGTTTAGGTTTGTGGAGGAAAGCAGTGCGTTGCCTTTAGGAAAGTCTGTGCTGGAGGCGCTTCAGAGTTGAAGTCTCGGGGAAGTTCGCCTCAGTCTCAGAGGGCTTTCGAGGGCTGCTGTTTCCTGGGCTGTCAAAGGCAGTCGCCTACGGTGCCGCCGTGCAAGCAGCGGTTCTGAGCGGCGTCAAGGCTGAAGCAGGGACTCATGTCACAGGCTTTGGCTCCGGGTTTCAGATTAGAGTGTCGGCTTGGCAGCTTATGCTTGTAAGCATGCGACTCTCCATGTTTGACCCGAGATGTTATGTTTGAAAGGGTCGCGAGTCCGGACGGATGGCTGGGGTTGGATTGGGTATGTCGATTCACGCTGTTTGTTCCAACACATGCAAGCTGAAGGGCGCGCTTGCCCTAACGGAAGTTCCAAGTGGCTCTCTCGTATGCAGATGTGAATTGCGGCCGCCTTGCACTTCATGTTGTGGTTTCAGCGTAGTCTGAAGAGGGTGTAGGTGTAGTGCTTGTCTTCGTGGGGCTGTAAGCTGTTGCTCTGTTTAGTTGGGGGCCTGTCTTCTCCATTGGCCAGGGGAAAGATTCCCCGTTGAAAGACCTGGTGCTGCTGGACGTGACGCCTCTTTCCCTGGGCCTCGACGCCTGGCCTGACAAAGAGAATATGGCCTTTCCCTCATCCCCCCGGTACGGTGCATTGAGCATGGTCCAACGGAGCATTACGTCGGCTCCTGCGTAAGCAGGGTCCTTCGAAGCGGTGTAGTTGTGGATTTGCCGCAGCTCCTGCGGCTACGTTTGAAGCACTTGCAACAGCCGAAATCTATGAGGAATGGGGCAAGGGTCGAAGTCTCGAAGTGACGTTACTGACTCGCGACAATGCCTAGCGGCTAGCGGTTGGGTTAAAACGGTTGCGGCAAATGCTAGGAGATAGTTCGGGATAATGAATGCTAAGCAGATCCGATTGCCAATAATGGCATCGTTGCCCGGTTGGTTTGGTCACCCTTGAAGTCCGTGTTTTGGAGTCGTGGGTTTGTGGCGAGCTTCGCTGCCATCAGCAACAAGACATGGCTACTTCCAATGCCTTCGAGCCTGAGTCCACTGCCCCGGCAGTCCACAGCGAACCCTTTCGAAGAGCCCAGGAAACTGCGGGTGGAGTGATGACAAGGCTCTTCTGTCTGTTTGTGGGTTCCGATTGCTAAAGGCGATCTCATGAATTGATTGATGATTTGCATGACCTCCAGGGACTAGGCCTACCTAGACTTCCAGTCCCAGAGATAAGGAAGTTCCGTCTGAAACTTACGGTCGGAAGACAGTGCTTGGAATTCAGATCTCGAGAATCTCGAGCCCCTGCCCACACAAAGAAGTCTTCTCCGAGTGAAGGTATGCGCCAACAGCGTGATTTTTGACGAGTGCAACCGGTGTCCACCCTCCATGCTGTGTTGTTTCTTGACGAGACCCCAAAAGCTTTTAGCTCTAGTTTATTTGGTCATGTCCCCTCATCAACGCGGCGACATCTCCAAGCTGCTCCAGTGCGCCAGGCTCATTGAGAGGAACTCCACCATACCCACCAACAAGAAGCAGGCGCCTGGCGCTAGAGTTTAGGGTTTTGGGTCCTGGGTTGCTAGATCTATGGCATCCTGATGCTATTCGCAGGTGCCTCACGCACCAAGCATCAGACCGCAGGGAACCTGAAACCTCCAATCCCTACGTCTCCTAATCTAACACACTCGTGTGGTCACCTTGTCAGCCGCCGAGCATTTCGGGCCAAACAGGCCTGTGCGTCTCGACCCTAGACACCTCTCCGGGCCTTTGTTTAGCTCATGCGGGATGGAAGAAGATGCTGAGACTGGGGAACTTTTCGGCATCATTTCCCTGCCTGGCGGAGGTCTTTTCAACCTACTCCGATAACCAGACAGCCGTGACCATCCAGGTGCCTTCGGGAATTCTCTCGGCCCTTTCACTCCACCTGTCACGTGAGGGTGGGCTGGGCGAAGTGGTTCCGTGCAAAACCCATTGCATTGTTTGCAGGTGACTTTAGCGATTCAGGTTTAGTGACTTAGTGTGCAACAGCAATTTTCGAAGCAGCAGGCAACCTGAGCAGTCCATGACCTTTGTCGATGTCACGGTTTTCCGTGGGTTGCTGCGTACAGTCTCAATCATGCCGTCAACCTCTCACTGATCCGGCTGTAATCTTACAGTAGCTTCCAAGTTGAAGATGAAAGAGCATACCTAGAAATGGCAGTCCGGAATGTAAACTTCGAACAAAACCCGACCCTCCCCCCATTTATAATTCATAGATGTCAGGGAATATTTATGAGCGGCTGAAGGTCGTGCCAACAAGAGCCGCAGCTAGCAAGACCCAGTTGTCAAGCGGAATGCAAAGTAGACCCAGAGACCCTGCGGTGTTCGCCTGCTCCGGTGCCCCCCTTGCTGGCTTCAGGCATGTCGACAGCTGCCTCATCTTGAGGGCTCGCGAGGGATAATGTCCCCTTGTTGTTAGAGCAAGAGCGATGCGTAGACTGCAAAAAGTCTTTGCAGGTCTATGAAGGCGAGCGCTCCATGACAAGGCTCTGCGGAGACTTCGCGAGACTGCTGATGAGTTGCAGATCCGAAGCAGTGGATAAGGGCATGGGAGGCTCAAACAAGAAAGAACTCGGCCTCGAAGGGACGAGTTGCGAAGGGCTTCTCAGGGTCAAGTGTGGGAGTGTGCTGGGAGGACTCTGCAACGGGAGGAGGATGGCCGGCATGTGCCCCCGAACAAGGACTTGAAGTTGAACCGTCCGCCGTACCAATCCTGAGACCCACGCCCCTCTTTAGGTCATCCTAAGCCTGAGCCAGCATCCCAGGCCACACTCATCTGCGAGGTTAATGCAAACCTGAATGGGAACTGATCCGCGTTTTTCCCGAGCTTGGAGCCGGTCATGAAGCAAGACCTCGTTTATCACCACAACTGCCCCTAGCCTTCGAACCGTCAAACCTCAGCTCCCAAACCCTTCGCGACTCCGCTGTAAGATCTCGAGCCGGCAAAGTGGCCCAAAACCAAGGAACGGAGGTCAAGCCTTCCGAAGATCCCCTATTACTCTTCAAACCCTTTCAACCCCGAAATGCCATATACCCCGAAATGACATAATTTTTGAGGGACAACCGGCTCCTCGGCTCCTTCAATCTGGACAGCATCCCTCCGGCACCCCGTGGCGCCCCGCGGCTGAGAGAACTTTGGGGTAGATCGGGCTTCTGCATAGGGTCTTTCGGGATCAGGGCTTGGGATGTAAGCTTAAGGGTTTCAGGTTTTCGGGGTCATTGGGGCTTGGGGCTCAATCACCGCACGCTTGGGTTGCGGTGGATGTGCTTAGGCTACGGTTCACGGTGCGGTCAAGTTGAAACTGGGTTTTGTGGCAAGTGTTATCTAGGGGCAGTTGGCAGAATGGGAGTGACAGGCTGTAAGATTCAGACCATTTCGCAGGGCTGATGCTATCCACGCCCATCAGCAGTCTCATGCTCATGGATACGCCTGTCAGTTGCAGTTCACCAACACTTGTGCCATCATCACCACCACAGTTACCATCATCGTCACCCTCATCCTCAGCAGCACCATCATCTTCATCCACATGAGCATCGCTATCACTGTCACCATTGCCATCACAGCATTGTCTTCATCATCTTCACCGCATCACATCATCATCGTCATCATGGCAGCAGTCACCATCGCTTGACTATTTTGCCGTTCCCTCCCGTGGCTAGGCTGTGTCGATAGCATGAGTCTCCAAAGCGCTCTTGTTCCTAATGTCGTTACTACGACATAGCAGCAGCGACAGCAAGAATGTCGAAGTAGTCGCAGCAGCATCGGTAAGGTGATTAAGGTGCATAACCGCGACGGCAACCATCACTAGTGCCTCACATCAAGATGGGATCTGCCCTCAGGTTCCTCAGATCGAGGTCGCCTTTGACTTGGACTCCAATGGAGCCCGCCCGCCTGAGCTTTGCTCTGCTGTGGGGAGAGGAGAGAGACCCGTGGGTGGCTTGGGGGCTCATGTAGCGACGCAGAAGACATGAGCAGGCAGGCCTCTATTCACACGTATGCCGTATGCCGTGCCCAGCTTCCTTTGGACGCTGTGTTCGTAAGCAGCAATGGATCCGGGCCATGATGCCATGAAGCGGCTACATTGAGGACCCGTGTGTTTTGGCATAGCATTTACCTGCCGCCAGATCCTCAACGTGTCGGCAGCAGACAAGACCACTGGAAAGCACATGCCTCAGTTGTGGAATCTTGCGGCAGGGGCTCACAAGGGCTTCGGCCTTAGTTTGAGCTCTGCTACCTTCAGGACCCGAAACCCTTCGCGAGACCCGCACAGGTCGAACAAGATCACCATCACGAATGAGAAAGGACGCCTCTCCAAAGATGAGCCTCCCGTCGGCAAGAGTCTTCAACACTGTGGGGCTGTGCTTTCAGAGATCGTCAGCTTCCTCATGTTGTTGGCAATGGCAGTTCTCCTGTCAGGGTGGTTGGGGACAATCGGACCAACATGGAGTCCCCAGTCCCGCGTTCATCGCGCAGCATTCCTCAGTCGTTAGTGTGGAACGTCCTGTCGGTGTCTCACTGTATCACACACCGTTACGGCTGTTTTGGAAGCACAGGGAGCGGTGGGGCCCCAAATCGTCAATGCCCCTGTTAAAATCTCTGAGCAGGGACGGGGGTCGTGAAAGGTTTGTGGAGTTGGTTGCAGGCCACAGCTCAGAGGCGGCCCCTTTCTGCTCAGCATGACCCACACACGGTTGCTGTCAGGATCGAGCGCATGGTCAAGGCGCTTTCCGGCTAGATCTGCTGGGGCGCGGGTTTGGGATCTGGCGCGGAAGGCTTCAGCTAGTGCTCGGTTTTGGCGAGAGGATGCAGCATGCACGCTGCTGCGGGATTCCTAGTCAAATCTTTGCCCCACATCACACATCTGTGGAACCGCTTTGGTGTTGGGACACAGAAGAACTCAGAGTGCCAGTGCTCAGGCAAAGTCAAACAGCACATTACCCCAACACAGTCTCACACAGCCCTTTCACGAGGCCCGAAAAGGTCCGAAGTTCCCAGAACCGACATGCTTTCAAAAGATCCCGAAGAAGGAATTCGGGTGACTTCCCTCCGTGAGGAAGCCGAGCAGTACCGAAGCGAGGACGAAGCCATTCGGAAGTCCGTGGAGGCCTGGGCCCAGGGCTCTCGTCTCCTGTGCTTCTATCCTCGCAAACTCTAGCTTCGAGGAAGAAGGAAGGCGCATCGATGCCAACGTGGCAGGGTCGAGCGTTGCTACCGAAAGCCTCAAGAAGGCCCAAACACACTACACTGATGCCCTGCCTCGGCGTTCACGCAAGCCCGGGAAGCCAGCTGTCACACACGGAACAGCTACTAAACACGCACCGCTTGGCTGATGCAGACTCCTAAAGCCCGAAACCCTGCGCTGCTGAAGCAGCAACTCGAGCTATCGATCGGGACACGTGAACATAGAACACAGGCCGTGCCAGACTCCTAAAGTAAACCCGTAACAATCCTGAAGGCCTTGAGCCTTCCATGGTGCCTCCCGCAAGAGAACCACTTTCAGATGCGCACTTCGAGATTCTCGTGGTGCATCCCGCAAGAATACCTTTCGTGCATCCCACAGATTTCAACATGCAGTCCCCTAAATCCGAGCCCTGCTGCCCAATCCCCAAAGCCTGAGCCGTCAGCCTTAAGCATCACTGGGCGGAACGATGCAGGCC